CTTGATCTGATAGATGGGTACGATCGGGTAGGATTAGATTGGAAACAGTCGGTGTACATGATATTCCAGGTGTGGCAGTAAACACGTCAGCCTAACTTCTCGGATTTATCGCTGCCCGAGCGTGCTTGTTCTTCATGTTCTATGTTTCACCAACTTTGGTGAAAAAATAAGAAAAGAAATCGATATCGAGGTAAGTTTTCAAAGAAGCAGTATCAGCTTATTGGTGTAATGTTTTTGTGTGCAACGTGGGCAAGTCCGCAGCCACAGGAGTCGCCACTTCTGCAACTAGGAGATGCAGCTTTGAAGCAAGCGTCCTGTTATTAGTCGATACTTCTGAGTGCTAAACCAAATGACGTAACATGCGGTGCTCGTCTGCGCTCTCTCACTAAGACAGCATTTGGAAACGGCTGTGGTAGAATGGTTTTTCTTGTAAATGTTCATCAGGCAGCGTTTTAGAAATATAGCTTTGGACGCGAGTCTGCTATCTTTGTGTGATTTCACGTCAAATTCTAAGCCGCGTTCAGTCCGCTCAGCGTTCTACAAGGGCACATGAGATTGAAAGTTTGCAGTGCGATGGTTCTATTCCATGTTCTCCATCTGGGTCTTCAGTGGCCTCAACTACACCCATCGAGCAGTAAGTACATAAAGTGAGAGTCGGCAGACGAGCAGCGTCTATGTTGTAATAAGTGGAAGCGCAAATATTACAGACCACAGGGTTACACATGGATCTTTGAGTGGCAAGAATGGTGAACGTTGTACGTTCGGTCTCAATAACGATTCTTCAGTAGGGCGCAAGTGGCTCACAAAAGAATTTAGGCGTGAGGTTAAGTGCATTGCGATAGTCGGCTACGGATTCACACCATATTCGACGCGCTTTACCTAAAAAAATGTGTTTGTGACCGATTTTTCACTACCTCCAATTTTCCGAAAACAGGCCGGATCTTGATCGACTTTTTTCTACGAGGGCAGATTTGGCTGAAAGTTGGGTTCTAGGGGTAATTCGACCTCCTGAACACGAATATCACATCCACTTGGCCTGAAAGTGCCTGGCGCCCGCGACACAGGCGCCGGCGCAAAATACCCTAGGTCACTAAATCGCTGAAAACTTGTATACGGAGGTTATTCGACATCTTGATTCACAAATATCACACCCATTCTTAGGCGCTGGCGCTGATGAAATCACTCCTTCTCCCAGGCTCAGCCTTAGAAAAGCGCTAAATGGCGCTGGCGTCGAAAAATAAATGTCGTATTCGTGATCAGGGCATCAAACAGCCCCATTATGCAGGTTTATCAATTTTGATAAAAGGGTGTGGCGCCAAATCAGTGCCTAATGGCGCCAGATGACCTCAGGGCTGAAAACTAATTCGGTATTCGTGATCAAGACATCAAGTTATCCTACTATGCAAATTTACACCGAATTTGTGAGAAAGTGCGGTGAGCTTTTTTCCAAATTACCGCATTTGAACTTATGGTTACAGGGATGATTGGTGCTCTGATTATGAGTGAAATAAGATTAGACTATAGCACAGGAAAAAAATCATGGAAACCTTAGTTTCTGAGCAGAACGAAAACTGCCCTCCTTCCTCTCAAGTTGATGGAGAATTTCAAGTTTGTTGACGGAAAAAGATCCGCTTTTTCTCAATAATAGTTTGAGTTCAACTTCCTACAGTGCATTATATCCTGAATAGTTCACGCTTTTGTAACACCCGCGCAAGGTATATGCCGGCAAAATCGCCTACGACCGCTTTTTTCAGGTAAAGCGCGTCGAATATGGTGTGAGTCCGTAGCCGACTATGGCAATGCACTCAACCTCACGCCTAAATTCTTTTGTGAGCCACTTGCGCCCTACTGAAGCAATCGTTATTGTTTCGGTCTCAGGCCCTCAATAGTACGACAGGAAACAAAAATATGGCGAAACAGCGAAAAACCTCCGAAACTGAGCTCTAATTAATCGCTACAAGTAGGAAGTATATGATTCATTGCTGGTCGAAAAGCAGAGTGGAAAATCACCTTGACTGCCAAAAATATGAAGACCCATAACTTCATGCGGTAGCAAACTTAACGACGCTTTCATCTGAGGTCCTGGAATAGCCTTGCGCGAAAAGTAAATCAGTGCACGACTGTCGAAGAACTGGGGTAATCGCAGTGAAAGAAAATAAATGGTAAAATAATAGCGCCTCAGATGGCGGTTTACATGTAACAAAACCTTGCAGTGTGCATAAGAAAGCATATCCTACTAAAAGTAACTTACCTTCTTCAGAAGAAACGCCGAGTTGTTGGCGAAAATCGCCTATGCGCTTGCTGAATAACGCACCTGCTGATCGGTACGCTATTTGTAGGCGTGTCCAATGTTGGTAAGAGTGTGGATTGGCATGCTAAACCTTTGACACTTAAAGACCGTTTTTTATTGGAGAAGACGCCATACTAGGCTCACTAAGCGGCACGGTATGCTGTGATAATCAGGCCTGGTAGATTTACCGTGCCCTTTGCCCTTAAGCACACTTCGATGTTGTTATCAGATTTCTGGATGCAGTAGCTACTTGGTCAAGATTTCAATTCAGCCGTACCTATCATTGGCTCCTTTTACATACTCGAGAGAGGAAGGAGATTTGTATGAGCTAATGGGAGTCGTTTCCCACCAAGGCGATCTCGTCAGTGGACACTACGTCGCGATGGTCAAAGGATTTAACGACAAATTCTACAGTTTTGATGACATGCTAGTAAACAATGTACGTTCCCATTTCATCTTCAAACACTCATCAGATACACGCGTGATATAATTTCCTTGAATTCTAGAGAGAATCTCTGAGAAATGGCTGGGTTAAAAGGTTCTCTCCATATATAATATTTTATAGGTAAGTTTGAATTGTTCATGTTAGTAATGAGATACGTATCGGTACCTATTTAAGGAAGACGGATAAGGAAAATCTGGAGAATTGTACTCCTATGATGGTTAGCGAGGAATATGATTCGGATCGTCCAATTAGCAATCGTCAAAGGTATGCAGTGGCATTGGAGTTGGAAGAAGGAAGACACATTGCTTTGCCGACCACTTTTCGAAGTTATCTGTTCCTAACTGCAAGAGAACTTTGCTGCAAAGTTCCAAAGCCAAGTTTGCCAAAAAGTACAGAAGGGTAAAAAAAGGTCTTCTTGTGCGGTCCCATATAATACTACCAAGGAATATTCACAATTTCTCTTGTTGGAAGCGAAAATGATCTTCTCATGTGGTCTCATCTCTTGTTCATGGAGTGTCATCACATCCAACACTTGCTTCCAAAAAGCGCCAGAAGCGTAGGTCTGCTGTGGGCTCGAATCGTATAAGCAAAAGACTTTCCCAGGTGGCTCTCACTACTGATTGAGACAGAACATCTTCGTCGGCTGTCGAAACAAACAGCCGACGAAAATGTCCTGTGGACGGAAAATGAGCAATGGGACTGGAAATCTGTACAGTCTGTACTTTGATGTAGTGCTTAGAAGAGCAGAATGGTTTCACTTAAGAAATTGTTCAGTGGCAATTCAAGAGCGGTAATTTCAAATGGTGTACATTCCTATGGAACTGGTGCTAACGCCAATGGTGGATTGAAGGACATCCGTCGACACAGCAGTAAGAAATTCACGTGAGTTTTCTAACAACTTCAAGTCTTTCTGCACATTTTTGCGACTATCTAGGAGTCGGTGCAGAGAACTTTGTGGAAAGGGCTAGGAGGTTAGAATGGTGCAATTCCACCCATTCCAAGCATCAACGTCCACAGACGTTCGACTGTTGAGATGCTTAGGAGAGCAGAATGTTTCACTAAGAAATTGTTCAGTGGCAATTCAAAAGCGGTAATTTCAAATGGTGTACGTTCCT